GCGGCGGGTGACCGAGGCGCTGAACGAGCCTTTCCCGAGGTACTGGCTGCTTTGTCTTGACCCTCGCCAAGGTCGAGGAGGGGAGAGGAAGGGCAGAAGGGTCCGTGGGAAGGATGGACTGTGTGCCAGTTCCAGTGCTTTTGGCGGGGAGGGGGCGTAGAGGAGGGGCTTAGGAAGCAGAGTTCAGGATCTCTGGTTTTTCATCTTTAGGAAATCTTAGGTTCATTCTGTAGCCACTTTTTTCCTTAACATTTGGCGTTGGAGGCTCAAGGTCAGCTCTGTGTGCCGCGTGATGCTTTGAGGTCTGCGTATATTTCAAGAATTGTTTTGCAACAAATTTGAAAAAGAAAAAACCGAAACATTTGAAGACACAATATTGATCTTAATGGGTTTTGTGCTCTTCTGTGCATTGGTACTTACTAAGAGGGAAAGGCGGGTTTGTGTCCCTTCTGCAGACCGTGCAGGACGGCAGGCAGTTCATGAAGTACATTGATCCGCACCTGGGGGTTCCTCTGCCGGAAAGAGACTACGGCGGCAACTGCCTCATTTATGATCCTGGCAACGAAACGGATCCGTTTCACAACGTCTGGGTAAGGAACAAATAAAGTTACTTGCTAATGAATCTGACTGTTTTTTTTGTCAAAGGTGGCTTAATTGAACTCTTCAAAGTGCAGTCGTGGGTCTGTCTGAGTGTTGAATGAGAGACCAGGTCGTGGCTGACTCCTCTGGCTCCCTCGTTTCTCTTCCCTTGGCCTTGCCTGTCGATCAGATTACAGTGCCCGGGAGAGAACGTAAACTGTTTAACAGTTGTTGTTTCTCAGATTGTTGATGTTAAACCTTTTCCCCTAGGAGTTTGGGTATATTGGTGTGCGTAAAGAATCTCCTACTTACGGCCACCTCGAGGCACAGAGTTCAGAAGCTGCGTGTTGCCCAGCCAACCATAAGTTGCATTTTTCTGAATACCAGAAACTGTCAGGTTATTGTTTCTTGCAGCCAAACAGAAGACTTGAAGTTCAAGGGCAAAGAAATTCTTGTTGTTTACAACTCCCTGATGGCACGGAGCTGTTAGTGCTTGTGCACTGAATCCTTTGGGTCTGCCATGTGGGTCTTCAGTGCATCAGGAACTGGAATAACTGGGAGCAATTACAGCTGTCCTAGTCTGGCACCAAAACTAGGAGGAGGAAAGGCACAATTTGCCCAGGGGTTTATGGTGGCAGGACTGATAATATTTAAGAAGCTCTGCTAGATGGAAGGTGGGGGTCTGATGAAGAAATGCATGGTTTTGCTCTGGTTTGAACTTACTCTGCTTCCGTCCCGAGGGAAGGTAAGGAGCGTGAGGTTTAGCATTAAAAAGTCAGTCTCCACTTTATCAGTACAATCCTGATTACAGTTTCTGCCCTTTAAAATTGTTGACTTTGCTTTGAAGATACCTTGTTTGTGCCCTGCACTTGAGAACAAAGAAACCCATAAAATGCATCTGGTATTTGTGTGTGAAACAACGGAAGCTTATTGCTGCATTTTTCTCGGGGCGGGGAGGGAAAGTAATCCATAAGAGTGGGTTATTGTTTGTAGAGCAAAGTGACCTCCACTGTCTTCTTGGTTTGTAGGACAAACTGGATGGCTTTGTTCCTGCTCACTTTTTCGGCTGGTACCTGAAAGTAAGAATGGGTCTTTGTCACATTCCGGTTACAGTAATATTCTAGTTTTGAAGCTTGACTGCTGCTGGTTTAGCGATGCCAGTCTTTGGGATCAATTATATTAGGCACTCATCTGTGAACTAGACTGAGTGGTTGTAATACATGAAAGGCTTCCCCCCCCCCCCCCGACCACGTTAGGTCACCTCATTTCTTTCCAAAGTAACGTTACATTGACAAGCTCCCTCCTCCACCGTAATTCATTCTGAGGTCAGACCAATCCAAGTAAAATCCTTCACTCCTGTAGCAAGATAAATGCTTCGGTGACCTTTGAATGCAGAGGGTGGGGAAGACGGCGTTCAGAGAGGGCAGGGAAAGCCTGCTGTTACCCAGCACGGATGTGCGATGGTGCACGGCTGCTGTTCTAAGGCAGGCTTTTGCCAGGGGCATCCACATGGGGATTTTAGATCATTAAGTGGGTGGTGGTTTCATCCTGGTTACTTTTTAGTGCATGTGAACCAGCTGTGGAAGGAGTTCCAGCTGTGCTTGTCTGGCAGAACACATTCAACACGTGTTTTGCTGGTTACTTTGGCCTAAGAATTAGCTTTTTTTAAACCCGAGCAACCTTCCTAGCTAACTTTAAACCATCATAAATAATAAACTGAACCACTTTTAACCATCGTAAACAGTAACCTGAAAAGCTCAGGCTGTTTTAAAAATAAGCTACAACTGTTGTTTTGTTTTACCATTTCAAAAGTGCAGGTGTATCCTATGAGTGTGTTGGGTTGGTCTGGGGTTTTTCCCCCATAGCCCAAATATGAGTATACTGGGCATGGGCAGACTTTGACTTTGGATGAGCTTGTTGGTGGCTTGCTCTGTTGGTCTGTTGAGTTGTAAATTTGGAGAAAGTTGGATCCTCTTCATCTGAGAGAATTACATTAGGAATTTAAGTATCAATTGTCCTCATAAACAGAGATGAGCATGTGGGGTTTTTTCCTTTTTTATTTTTTTTTTTGGTCTGATTTGAGTGACAGACTCTTAAGCCTTGTCTCAAAGCACCTGACTGGCAGTATTGAGAATGAATGTGCCGCATTCACCAGAAATTATTGTGGGCTTCCCCGTTTGCTTTGAGTCATTTCGACCTCATGTTGTCAGACTAACGTGTGATAACGCGTATCTTACATTTTTCCATCTCCTGGTTGAGGTGGTCAACGCCAAGCTACGTTCAGTTTTGCAGCATCGCTGCCAGCACGTTTGGGGTTGGCTCCTTCCATCTAGGTGCCGTGCTGAGGACACAGCAGACCAGACGTGCTGGCTCTCTGTGCTCTTGTCCACTTAGAAATGTGGACTAAGGTGTTACCGCAGATCTCCTCCCGAGGTTTGGCAGCAGGCTGAGATGATGTGTGTGTTCTAGCTGTGCAGCTCAGCCAAATCCTTATGCTGATTGTGGAAGGAGATGCTGCTCTTCATTGCTCGCCCTGACAAGCTGCTGGCTGGTGTAAAGCAGACTCGGGTGTCCCAGCGCAGTCAAGGCTGAGATTTAGTGCAGGTGACTCCTGAAAAGGTTGCATTAAGCAGGCTCTGACAAGGCCTTTCTGAGCAGCATTAGAACGATGCTCCCTGTGGGGGTGGAGCACCTGGTAATTCCATTCATTTAATTGACTGACTTCCTTCTGAATCCCATCTTGCCTGCCTTTATTCCTTCGTGTAGTGGTATTACATCATCTATACGCTTCACTATCTGTCTTGTCTGTTATGCTGCATAAATTGAGAGGCCTGTGAGCATTTGGCTTTACTAGACTATCACAGGATAAAAATAAGATTGTCATGAGTTTCCCAGTCCTTTTCTGGATACTGGAGACAAGATGTTCAGCCCTAGAAGTGCCCGGTAAGCAAAGCGCACCATGCGTGTCCCCTGTGCTCAGAGGCTGGAAGGGTTAATCTCATTTTTTAATCTCATTTTTAATCACTCATCATTTAAGTGATCAGTTTTGAAACTAGGAAAAAACCATAATGATTTTTCCATCCACTAAGTCTGAGCAGTGTCTCTGCAGTGTTCGTGGAGTTCTGCTTTATTTAGATTTCTGAAGGGCATCGGTGTGAGCGGTGTCTGGTTCTGCGCAGGCTGGTGTGCAAACACTGGGGGTCGCAGTGGGGTTTGGGTTGTTGTGCAACTGTTGTGGGTACCTGAAAGATTTTCTTTCTCCCTTTGTGTAGACATTGATGATTCGAGACTGGTGGATGTGTATGATCATCAGTGTGATGTTTGAGTTTCTGGAGTACAGTCTGGAGCACCAGCTTCCAAACTTCAGTGAATGTTGGTGGGATCACGTATGTACAGCGGAGGTCATGGCGGGTTTGGGTGGAAATGCACATTTTAAAGGGAAGGGGTGGGAAATGGCGAGAACTCGGTCGTATCATGTGCCTGTGGCCAGAGATGCACGTGTGACTGCTGCAGCTCGGGAGCACTGGTGCTTCTCCGTGTTGAGTCTGTAATGCCTGTTGTGCTGTTTGTATAATTTTGTGGGTTTTCAGGCTGTTGCAAGCGGTTAAATATTTGTTTTGGTTCATTTCACACCAGAGAGAGAATCTAGAGCTTTACCTGAGCGTTTTCAAATAGTTGGTGATGGTACAAACCTTAAAATCTGAAATTAAGAGAAAGGTAAAATTTTGTGTGTAAAGCTTCAGATGGTGATTTTTTGCCTGTTTAAAAAAAAACCCACAAAACCGAAACACAAAGCAAACCCAGACACAGTGCAATTTGCGTCCAGCTCTTTCTTCTGTACAAACCTATCTTCGCTGTTCTCTGAAAACAGTAAATATTACTGTGTGTACAGTTGCTGGTGTGGTTTATGAAAACATTTTAAAAGATAAACATTTGGCCTTGCTGAAAAGCTGTGTGGTCTTTGCACGTGATGGTCTGTTGCCATTCTTGTCCTAAAATTTTGCTTGTGTGTGTTTTTTCAAGCCAGAGGGACTACTGTGATCCAGTTTCTCTGGGAAAAACAAGCTCTATAGCTTAAAGTGACACGCTTTTTTAAACTCATATTTTATTTTCCTATGAAATGTAAATCAGTTACCAGCGCGATCAGAATGCTCTGCACTGAGGGCACACAGCTATGGTTCCTGTGTTATTTTGGCTTGTCTTTATTCTTACAGGACAAGCTCTTTCCCAAGCCTGTAATGGTTTGCTGCATGGTCGTATTTATAAAAGTAAATGCATTATGTATAAAGACATCGAGCAAAGCTATTTTGCCTTCAAAAAAAACTTCTCCTGAATTAACACTCTGTGCTCTGCTCCTCTGAACGCGGAGGACAGGCGGGTGGTTCTCAGCTCAACAGCTCCATCTCCAGAGTTAGCGCTCGGCAGTAAGACGGAGCGTGGGGAGAAATCCCTTGTTTAGTTTCACCCTCTGAGCTTGGAGCAAAGTCATTTCTTTAGGAGGCAGCCTGGAGCTTAAAGAGCACATTAAGTTATGGGGCGTAGCAAAGTCCAGTCTGTAGGAACAGGTTCGGGTATTTTTTTGGTGTTTCTCTAAAGTTCTCACGTCATGGAGTCGAGCTGCCAGTGAGCAGGAGGAGGTCTGCTCTGCGGCAGCGCGCGTACAGCAAAAGCGGATCTGCAGCCGTCATCTGTCGGACACTTCTGCTTTGTTGGCGTAGGCCTGGGCAGCCGAGACCCCTTCTCCTGGCGGTTCGTGCCCCTCTGTGCTTTGGGGCTGTTCGTCCTTGGGACTGAGCGTGTGTCCCCCAGTACCTTCCCTTCACAAGCTTCGGGATTTCTTCTCCAGCATCGCTCTGTTTTTCTCCTTGCAGTGGATAATGGATGTGATCTTGTGTAATGGATTAGGAATTTACTGTGGGATGAAGACTCTGTCTTGGCTGTCTTTGAAAACATACAAATGGCAAGGACTCTGGAACATTCCTACGTACAAGTAAGTTGGTGCAGAAGCAGTAGCATGGCACAAAGTTTGAGCCCGTGTTAAAGATCTCGGTTGTCGAAGGATTGTTCTGTTAGGGTTGCTCTGAATTAAAGAATCCACGTGGGTTCAGGTCACTCAAGTATCTAGTAGCATGTTACTACTGCATGGAAGCTCGTTCACGAGAATTTTATTTAACTTGCAAATGAAATTGTTGAAAATGTACCCGTCTGCTGTGAGCGTGGCCTGATGTCTAGGAATGAGGGCATCTTGTGGAAAGGAGCTTATTTCATGAAATTGTTAAAGGAGATGCAGTCAGGATCATACTTGTCCGTTCACAGCGAGGATCTGTTTGGTCCTTATGCAAATCATGCATCTCCTAGTAGTCAGAACTTGGTGGGAATTGGGACACTGAAATGTAAAACTTAATAAACCCCATGTAGTCTTGTACCGGTGATGAACTATCCTTTTCTGTAGTGGGGCTTAGCTGAGCAAAGCAGAACTGAGGAACTGCTCACTACAGTGGGTGTAGTACATTAAAGTTTAAAATGATAGTCCAAATAACAGCCTCCTCTTTAACTCGGAATGTTCATCTCATTAAGTAGTAATTTTTGTGGAGTAAATAGAGGCATTTGCATACCTGAATTGCTGCCTCAAATGGGAATATTAGTAGATGTCTCTTATTGTAAAATTGCAAGAATGTGTTCTGCTTTTTTTCAGAGGTAAAATGAAGAGAATTGTCTTCCAGTTCACCCCGTACAGCTGGGTCAAATTTGAGTGGAAGCCAGCATCCAGCTTACGCAGATGGCTAGCAGTTTGTGGCATAATCTTTGTAGTAAGAAAACTTCCCTGTCTTGTCTCTTCTCTACCATTTGATTTGACGTGTTGTAACACTCAAGCCAGTGCACAAACGGTAACTTGGGATGAAACTCTGACACGGTGACGTTCTTTGGTTGAGGCCCACAGAGATCCCTTCCGAAACCAGCAGAAACGGTGTCTGTCTCCACCTCTCTGCTACAGTTTGCAGATTCATTGCATAAATATTTGTTCTTGCTCACTGAACAGTGTTGATTGGCCATGTGAGCAGTATAAACTGTGAGCTACACCTAACCCAGCAAGTAACGGCTGCTACCAGAAACATGGGCTTGGGATGGAAGCGGCTTGTTTCTCTGTCTGAAGCCGACACAGTTGACATTACAGCTGGGGCAGACTAACCAGAGCCTCAGCTCGGAGCAGCGTGGCTCCTGAAGCGCACAGCTTTGCCTCGGATAAAATTTTTATACAGGCTTAAAAAACTCAATTAGGTTTTCCCTTTTTTGTGTTTCGCTGAACACGTAGCACGTGATGTTGTTAGCAGCGTCCAGCGTGACCAGCTCAGGTAAACGAGCTCCCCCGCTTAGACCGGAGAGAGAGCTGGCATGTCCAGCAGCCGGGCCGAACGGGCACTGCCTCCTGCGTCCAGCCGGCTGAGCGTGGGCCTGTGCTACGGGAACGTGTCTCTGGAATTCCTGACTTCCACTTCGCAGTCGCAGGCATCGCGCACGTGACGCTGACAGGGAGGATGACCTGGGCGCTTTAAGTGCTTTTTCCCCACTCCTGCCTCTTGTCAGCTGGGGGACTTTGGCCTTTGTGCTCTCCATGGGACGTCACTTGGCTCTGGGTTGAGCCACTCCAGTCCATTCAGCAACTGTGAAGTTTAACTAAAAAACCCCTGTTGGCACCTCTAGTGATTCCAGAGGCAACGGGCGTTAACCAGTTTCTGTGTTGCTGCTGTGGGACAGGGTATAACTGGTTTTGAACAGTTGCTAGAGCAGCACAGCTTTAAGCGTCTTGAAACAGGTGGGATCTGCAGTCTGGTGGTGGTTTATTTTGGGGGCTGCCCAGCGAAGTCCCCTGGCGCCGTTTGCTGAGTGGGGCACGTTGGTCAGCGGGGCAGGCCACCGCCGCCCCTCTCTCGCCCCCAACAGCCCTGCATGTTATGCCGCTGTCAGACTCAGACCCGAGGGGCTGCCTGTGCGGAAGGCAGCAGCGTGCAGCGGTTCGCAGACTCAGCCAGTTGAACGCGAGTTCCCCTCGCCTGATTTCTGCTGCGTGACACGCTTGCCGAGCTCGCAGCGCAGAGCAGACGCTTGCTGAGGTTCCCGCAGGGAGGAGGCCGGGTGCCTGTGTACATAAGAGACGGGTTTCTCCGAAGGGTTGCTGTGTGCACGCTCCCAGCTCTGCTCCCTGAAGAAACCGGGGTTGGGGCGCTGCAGCAGAGTCTGCAACTGAGAGATTCCACTCAATTTATCCTAGGCTTTGGTATAATACCGTGTCTTTAGCAAAGCCTAGCTTCAGCTGACACTTTATAAGCAGCTTCATGTATTGGCTCGCTCTTTTGGATTAAACAGCGCTTAATGCCGTTTGTTATCATTTCTTTTGAAGTGAGAAACTTGTGTCTGCTTGCTCGCTTAATGACGTTGCCAGGGCAGCTCACTTGAGAACATTTTGCTATAAATGTATAACCAATTCTCCTAAGTTGGCTTTGGCAGTGGAGTTTGCATAACTGTGTTGAAAAACGAACCAAGAGGCTTGTGCCTCTGGTTATTTCAGGGTTCCCTCAGTCAGACTTTAAATGATAGTGAAAGGACAAGTTGTTGCTCTTTGGATTTATCAGTAGTTCTGCAGGTACTTCAAACTCCCGATAAACTGGTTCAAAATTAGAGGCAGTGCTTGTCCACGTTTCTGTTGTGGGTTTTTTTTAATCCCTCTTCCAACACACAGAAAATTTTTGAAAACCCAGCTGTTCTTGGTCATTATTGCAGCTGATGCTGGTGCCCTCAGTAATGGTGACTAGGGCTTTGCGGCGTTAGAGAAATGGTGGGGGGAGTCGCGCAGGGAGAGAGGGCAATTCCAGGCTTCCTTCAGTGAAGTCTCCTGAATGTAATTAAAATGTCCTTTTTCTCAGTTTTTATTGGCAGAGCTGAACACATTTTACTTGAAGTTTGTCCTTTGGATGCCACCAGAACACTACTTGGTCCTGTTACGACTTGTCTTTTTTGTCAATGTGGGAGGTGTGGCTATGAGGGAGATCTACGACTTCATGGATGACCCGTAAGCCAGTCCTCTTGTGTATATACCATGTCGAGCTTCACTTGCTTTATTTTGAATTTGCCTCAGCTTGTTGGCATCCATCTCGGGGCGATAGTTCAGCTTGTCGGGGCCAAAAAGAGCTAATCCCGAAGCATCTACTTTGTGTGCTTTTGGTTTGGAAGCAAAATTCTGACTATGTCTGGTTGGAGAACAGCTGTTGTGAAGGGTGTTCTGTGTGCGCTGTGTTTAACCTCAGTTGTTAATAAATGATCGCTCTTTTGAGAATGTGGCGTGTAAATTAGCTGGCGTGCCCCTGGCTTGTGGGCAGAGGAGTACTGAACTCCGCTTTCAGAGTGATGGCCAGGAGCTGCAGTCCTCAGATGTACCTTCTAAGGACAACAGGACGCAAACTGAAAAAAAAAAACGTTTCTTAAAGGTGCTTCTTCCCTTGAGCTGTCTTCGAGGTGGTCCCTGGTCCTCTGGAGCTCTCGTGGCATCCTCTTGCAGATCAGAGGACCCTTTATAGCAAAGTGTATTGAAGGCAAAACGCGCCCATACACACGACAGTGCATGTACTTTCAGACTGTTCCTCCTTGAGCATCATATTTGTCCTTGCTGCTTTTGTTTCTGCAGACCATGTGAGACCTGAGAAAGCTTTGTTCTCAAAATCACGTTTTCTTTTAAGTTTTAGTAGTAATGTCACAAACTGCCTGAGCCCACATCTTAAGTCTGAGACAACGTCTGGCTTCAAGGGATGTTCGTTGTCTGTCGCTGACCAACGCAAAAAGTGTCTGTGTTCAGAATTTAGGGTTCCAACACTCAATGAAGATCAGTTTCCCTTACAAGGCTTTGACTCCTAGAACTGGGAAGAAGGGTCAACCCACATTGCTTAGTCGGATTTCAGGACATTCAGCAGTGTCAGGCTGCCCCTGCCTTTGGTGTCGGACCTGCTGGTTTGGGATGTGCCTCCAACTCCAAGGTAAGAAGAGGTCTTTGCCTCTCACGGGTGAGCTCCTCTCCTTAGCACCATTCGCAGTCTTCTGGTCCTTGTGTTTGGGTTGGAAAAACTCCTTTGCTCTCTGTTCAACCACATGGCATAACATTGAAATTTAGGAGAATCATCAGTCGCTGGTGCCTCGTTGCTGGTTCAGTTTGTTGCCACTCTTTCAATGAGCTGAGAAGTTCCTCCAGCAAGCAGAGACTCATCCGGAGCTGCGTGTCTTCCTCATTGCCACCACCACCTGCTGCTCGGTCTCTCTTGGTGGGTAAGGTGACGAGCCCCCTCGCTTCTGAGGTTCATGGCTCTGCTTGGTGCACCACAGAGCTGACCTCCTCAGACTGTTCGTGCGAAATGGCAGAGCCTGGCGTCTGGTCTTACCTCGTGTCTTCTCTGCGAAGGCTTTTGCAACTGGACTTCGATTCCTTCGTGCATTTCAGGTCATCCAAGCAGAGATAATCTACCCTCGTTTTACCAGCTTGCCTGGGTGTGTTTTCCCTTGCACGTCATTGTGAACCAAGGAGCGGTTTTGGATCCTTCCTGTTGTGTTGTAGGGAGAAGCTGCTGGGGAAGAGCAGGCTGTACCAGAGGCTCCCAGCTAACAGCACATGAGAAACCTTCCTGACCTTTTGCTTTTGGAAACTCACTCAACTCCTTCGTGGGCAAAGGCTGCAATGTTCCATTGACCTTCCTTGTCAGAAATGTGGCTCATTGCCTTGTCTGGTGGTGATGGGATTGTCTGAGATGAACTGATGAGATCTCTTCAGCTAACCTTGCAGTATTTAGTCTAGAAGTAGTGAAGTTCAAATATGAAGACTCTTTTTCTCGTTCAGGATTCTTAATATCTGCAGACAGTTCTGGGGCTTTGCTTTCGAGGATGGTTCTGAGCAATGGTGACAATAAGGTATCTAGAATTAAAATAGACCAGGAAGAGGGGTGGTTCTTGAAGCTGCTCTCCAGCTCTTGCATACCACGCTCCTGTTGTGATCCACATGCTGCCTCTGAGTCTAGAGGACGGGCTGTGTGAAATGTTCCTGACCAGAAATGTCTTGGTGTAAGTCTGTAGCATTTGACCGTGTCACAGCTTTCTGGTTTCTAGTCTTCAGGTCTTGTCCAAGGAGCCTCCATTGAGGCCGTGAATGTTATTCATCAAATAAAAAAAGGGGTTTTCTTTAAAATATTTCATGAGTAGAAGAGCAGGAAACCAACTTTCTTCCTCAGCAGCTTTAGGTTCTGCACAGCTCTTCTGCTGGGATTACTCTGATTCTTTGTCAGTGCTGTCACAAGCTAGAGAAGGAAACGGATGGCGAGTGAGGAAGCAGATCAGCGAAGCAGAAGGCTGACCCAGTCGTCTGAACAGCTCGAGTTCACAGTGAGAGATTTGCCGTTGCGGTTTTTCTCTCTCTCCGCCTGTTAAGGCTAGTTTCTGCCCCTTTAGTCTGTCATACCAGGTGAACGATCGGGAGCAACTTCTGGAATCCTTTCATCAGAGTTGGTCTTGGTGGGATACTTTTGCACATGGACTGCGCTCATCCCATCTGCATCAGCAATAACCTACACTTGATTTACTGCGTCATACTTTTTTCCAGTGCATTTGGCCAATTTTCTGCAGTTACTTGCGCATTGGTGTCAGATATGACTCTAAGGCCTCAGGTTTAAGAAACTGCGTGTTTTGTGTGCTTGACTTGCAATGACTCCCTGGATTCAGGAGAGGGACGAGAAGCTCAGTTTGATCCCTGTGCTTAGATCCCTTCCCAGACCGTGAGATCCAGGGGGGTGCAGCGGAGCAGCTATGCCTGAGCAACAGGAAAACGCCTGCTGGAGGAAGGGCGCTCTCCCCAGGGCTGGCGTCTGACGGGAAGAGGGAAGAGAAGGTGGGAGCGAGCGTGTGGTCGCAGCTCCCTCTGCCTCGGCGCTGCTGGAGGCGCCTGGGGCCCGTTGGGGTGCGTGCGATCGGGGCAGGGTGTCGGGCAGGCTGGTTTCTCCGCCCGGCAGAGGGAAGCGTTACCAGAGCCGCCGCTCTCCAAGGACATGCTGAGCAGGGGTTCGTTAGGTGGCTTCTCTTCCACCCACGGCGTGGCGAAACCCGCAAGAAAACATGGCCCAAGGGGCTTACGTGGCCGCTGCGTGTCACAGCGCTTGTTAGGCCAGTGCCTCAGCCGGGCAGCAGCCGTAGGGCAGGCCAGAACCCCCCCTTGCCGCACCGCCCTCCAAGCACTGCAGAGGACGTCTTGGCGTGTCCCGCCCTCTCTCCGCAGCCCTCTGCAGCTTCGTGGTGTCGCTCTGCTCCCCCTCTCCTCTGTCCTGCCCCAGCAGTTCTGCCGCTCTACGCTGAATTCTTCCTGGATGTGTTTCGCTTCGCATCTTGTGCTGCGTTGGGAACGGAATAACAGAGTCAGCTGGACAGGAGAGGAGGGACCTGGTGGGAAAATGTACTGCAGGATACCCGGCGGTTGAGTGAGAGGGCAAGGCCCTCTGCAGAGGAGGTGCTCCCTGCGATTAAAGCGGAGATGTGCAGAACAAGGGATAACAGACAGCAAAAAAGAACAGCCACCCTTAAGTTTAGTGGTGGTGCTTCTGTCCGCCCGGTTTGTTTCGGGCATCTTCAGAGACGTAACAACCAGTTGAGGCGGTAGGTGTAGGGCTGACAGGGAGGGGCACCCAAGTGCTGCTCTGTGTGGTTTTCAAGTAAAAGACACAAACCAAAGGCTACCGAGGAAATTAGTTGTGCGTGCTTGCTGGTGAAACTGCTGGTGATTATGGTGGGTGAGGGTATTGCTTTTCTCACGGTCGGTCGTCCTCGATACAAACCAGCTGGATTTCAGGAACCCTTAAATTAAATCATGCCTTGCTGGAGGGAAACCCCATACAAGTTCTAGCAGCTTTCTCTTGGTTCTTTCCCCCAATGTGAATAAACCCCCTTTTAGATTCAGAAGGTGGGTGGTGGAAGAACAAAGACTTGGTCTGCCAGGCGGGGGGTGACGCACCTGACTGCGCTGTTGGACAGCACATCTGCTGCACCAGTGGTGCGGCGGGGGGCAGGATTTCGGCGCAATCCAGTGCATGAGAAAGGCTTGTTCTGCTGCCCAGACCGCGCTCTGATTATTGACCCGGGGATCATCTGGTCGGTCGGGTCAGTAGGCTGTGAAAATGGCCAGTCTAGAAAGGACCCGAACAGACCAGGTTGATGCAGAAGCGGAGGACGTGACTGGTTTAGATGAAGACTCACCCAGGTTTCTGGCAATAGGCCGTTACCTGGGAGGGGAACGAGGTTTCCTGAAAGGCAGCGCGCAGGTATCTGGGGTTCATGTGTTCCCCGTGCAGGAACAGGGGACCCAGAAGACCGTGCGTTTCCAATCATCCCTTCTGCAAGTGGAGCCTCTGAATAGATGTCTTGATTTCACTGCAGTTTAGTTTCTAGCATTACTGATTGGTGAGTCCTTCGCCAGACTTGTACATAGCGCTGCAGCTTCCCATTGACTCCTCTGGCACTGCTTAAGAGCAAACTCTGGTGATTAAATATTAATCACGTGTTTACCCCGAGGTTGTGTTGTCCTGGAAGTGAAACGCCATCCTTGTGTCTTTGGGTATCTTGCCTGTTTGTTGTTAGTCTTTCCTCTTTTTAAATCTGTTCAGAGGTCATTAGTGACAGCTCATTGAACACCTTTTGGGGAAGAGAGTAAGTTTCAGAATGCAGTTGTACGGGGGTTGAATACGGTTACGGCAGTGTGGCTTGATGTTTGCAGAGAAAATCCAGGAGCAGAGCTCCTGTTTCATACCCTGAACCTCAGCTGATCTCAACCTGGTAACTGTTTGTGCAGATTTAATGATAACCTGAAAATGGGGATACTTCCTTGCATCATATGGTGATGATGAAGTTTAATTTTTCCTGTGTTTTCAGAGCCTCTGAGAGGAAACTTAAGCAACACCAACATGAAAGTGGTCAGCCTGCGTAGCCTTAGTACGTGTGTAATCCAGGCTAGACTTTTAGAATTGTGCAAAGCTGAAGGAGATCATTACCCCAGCTGTCTTTTTATGAATGTTTCTCCAAATGCTTAATTTTACAGCGATGGCTTTGTTTTATCTGTGCGTTTATTTTGCAGGAAGTTCCATAAGAAACTGGGTCAGCAGGCGTGGCTGGTGGCTGCTATTACTGCCACGGAGTTCCTGATCGTCGTGAAGTACGATCCCTATACACTCACGCTCTCTCTTCCTTTCTACATTACCCAGTGCTGGATCCTGGGAATCATGCTCGTGCTCACCTGGACAGCCTGGCGCTTCTTCATTCGGTGAGCGCTTCGCTGGGCTATGTGCAGGTCTAGCCTGGCTCGGGGGGGAGCTTGATCTGGACACCCCCTCTTCGAATGTCTCTGCCCTTCAGGGCCTCCTGGAGACAGAGTACAGCTCTTTGGGATGGCTAGAGCCGCAGTCTTTTCCCGTGAGAATTGTTCAATAAACAGGGGGTTTTCTGTGCATGATCCTGGCAGTTTTCTTTCTGGGTCAAGCCTCTGGTCGCTTTGGTCTCTGTGGGGCTACTTGTGCTGGTGTTGGTGGAGAAGCAGGTGAACGGGCGAGCGTCTGACCGCTCCCGGTCTTCCTGCGGGGTGGGGATTGCCGGCGAGACCAGCCGCTTGTTCTCCCCGTGCCCCGAGTTAGACAAGACGAAGATGTTTTGCAGCTTCTTGGCGAGAACAGCCTGCTGGGTCGGCGTTGTCCGAGCTGTCCCAGTGTCAGCAACAGGGAGCCACATTAAACCTGTTCGGTTCGGGCGCTGCCCCCGCTGCACGAGGCTGGAAGGGTTGCGCTGGTCTGCGGAGGGGGCCCAGTGCAACAGCAGTGGCCGCTCTTGTGGCCGGTGCTGTCGCGTTGGGCTTCTGAAGGGGGTGATAATGGCCAGGCTGCTGGGAAGAAACGCGGATTTCGGGTGCTTCAGTGCCATCAGCGATTTTAGAAACTTGCAGCCAAAAGGCTGAAGCGGGTTAAGTTGTCCCAGGGGCGCTGGCACCCAGATCACACTGGCCTTACTGGTTTTGTTGTGCGTTGAAATTGTTTATTCCCATCACTGGTTCACATCTGTCTGTCTGTCTGTCTTTCTAGCGACATCACTTTGCGGTATAAAGAGATCAGGCGACAGAAGCAAGAGCACAGACACGAAAAGGACAAATCCTTGAGCAATGGTGGTGGACACTCGTCGGTGCTGGATGAACAAAATGGGAACAAACTGCGGGAGAGGAAACTTTGAGCAACAGACAAAGGGCTGAAAGGAGCTCGTAGCGCTCGAGTTGGCCTGGTGGACAGTTTCAACCTTATCCTACCTAACTTGTAATTTTCGTTGTTACCTTTCCAACCTGTGAAAGTCCTCCTGGGGAAAAGATGTCGCTTTGACATAGGCGCCCTTTCTCCTCCTGTACACCTAGTCAGAGTCGGAGAAAGTCTGTGTAGAGGGAAGTAGAACCGACGCCGTTGCAACGAGATGGGCTCTTCACCCGAGCGTGCTGTGTGTCTTCCTTGAAATCGAGGTTTGGAGACCAGGGGCTTTAAAACAAAGCGCAAAGGGAATCTAGCTGATCTATTTCCAGTCAACTGTGAGATTTCGATGTTGACGTTTGGGCATTAGGAACACTTGTTTTGGAGTGTACAGGCACCAGACACAGGAAAGGAATGATTTTTGTTCTGCTGAAACTACCTTGAGCTGTGGAGTAAGATTGTGTGAAGTGTTCAGCCACCAAGTAACAGAACTGCAGCGAGATAAACGTAGAGAAACTGGAACTTGTGAAGCCGTTGCGTAACTTGCACAGAATGTAATACAGTACACTACTGTTACAGCCCCTGTAGTACGGGGGTTATTGCCTTTCTCTAAACTGACTTTCAGCGTCCTGGAGTAGCCTACGATAGTTTTACGTTGTATCGCAGCTCTAGGGAGACAGACAACTTCTCCTTAGTTCTTTTTTATTGTTATTATTATTTTTATTTTAGTCTTGGTCATCTCTAAAGTGTAAGGGAAGGTTAAATAAGAAAGGTCAACCTGCCTTTCCTTCGCTTTGTGGAGTGAAATGTGTTACAAGCAGAAAACGGGGAGTTACTCCATCAGTCTTAAGTTCTTTGCCTTACCCTCAGCTCGCCTCGTTGGCTCACCGAGGGGTTTCCTTCTC